TAAGAGAAGGTCAAGTTTTCTTCTTCTCTAGTAGGAATATTTACATATTGATAAAGAAAATTTTCTGGAACACATTTAACAAATTCTTCACCATCCAAACCTTTAACACTATGGTAGTCCCAGTCAATGTTTGAAAAATTAAAATCACCTAATATTACAATCTTATCATCTTACATATATCTGAGATCTCTCTACATATTTATTCCACAATTTCCCTCTGACTTTTGGAGGTCGTTAGTACAATCCCATCAAGGTGATCATTCCCTTTTTATTTCTAATTTCAACCCATATAGTTTCATGGACGATTTTGCAAAAATATCCTCTCTGGTTAGAGCAGTAATGTCTTACTTAATCAAATTGCCACTTTCCCTTCTCTTTTGCCTTTTTTTCTATCCTTCCTATAGCATCTGAAATACAGAACATTAAGCTGCCAGTCCTGTCCATCCCCCAGCCAAATTTCTGTAATAGCTATGACATCCCAATCCCATGTTCCCAAACATGCCCTGAGTTCATTAGCTTTACCTGTAAGACATTTTGCATTGAAATAAATTCAGTTTAATTCTTCAGAGTTACTTCATTCTCTGACTTGCTCTTGTCTGACTATTCTAATTAACTTGTTCTTTTCAGATTCAAAACCATTCTCATCTATCTATTTATTCTGCTACTTAGGATCACTCCTCGCCCTCTCTCTAATAGTTTACAGTCTCCCTTAATAGAATTAGCAAAGATTCCCACTAGGATATTGGTGCCTTGCCAGTACAGGTGAAATCTATCCTTTTTGAAAAATCTTTTCTGCCCCAGAACAGATCCCAATGATCAAGAACTTGAACCCCTGAACATTACACCCCCTCTTGAGCCATTGATTTATGCCCTTTTTTTTTTATTCTTTCCCTCACTTGAGCTTGGCACTGGGAGTAAACTAGAGCTTACTTCTTTTGAGGTTCTGTTTTTTAATCTTCGACCTAACCTTTTATATTCACTCTGTAAAGCCTTAATCGTTTCCCTAACTATGACATTCCTATCAATGTGTACAATAACTTCCAATTTCTCACTCTCCCCTTTAAAGTATGCTTTAAACGTTTGAGACATCCTTAATCATGGCACCAGGAAAGCAACATACTATCCTAGATTTATGCTCACTACTGCAGAATCTCCAGTCTGTGCCCTTGACAGATTTCCCTCTAACAATTATTCTTTTAAATTTTGTCAAACCCTGCCTAACATAAGATTCATTCTTCGTGCCTAAGCTCTGTCTCTTCCATTTTCCTGTGAGAGACTACCCTTTCAAAAGTACCCAAAACTGAGTATCTGTTTGAGACAGGAATAGTCACAGGAGACTTCTGAACTATCTTCTTACCTTTCCTGACTGTCATCCCCCTATCTGACTGATCCTGCTGTGTAATCACTTCTCTAAATTTATTAGCCATCTAATTCTGTCTCTCTTGTATGCCCTCAATGTCATTAACCGTAAAAAGAAGCTGCTTACAATAGCACCTTATATACAAAATAAGTTACCTTTCTTTACTCAAACAGTTGATATTAAGCATGAAAAATATAAATAAAAAATTAAACGTATAAATCTTAAATAAAATCAACCACTTAGCTGAACAATCGAATTTAAAAAAGTTTCTGCTCAAATGGTCCAGCAGGCACCTTTCAATCTTGTGATTAAAATACTCATTCAATTCTTCTAACAATGTTTGTGCTGGCCAAAATTCACTGGGTACAATTACGCATCCATATCCACCAGTGTGAAAGAATGCATTACATGCAAAATTTCTATTCTTTCCTAGTTGGTTGGAGGTATCATTGTGCTTGTTACATATACCATATTCTTGCAACAGCATTACTTAACACACAATCATGCCTGCAGTTGCAGACTTGTATATCATCTGATGGATTACCATAGCGCCAAAGGCTGTAGATCCCATCTCTATGCCAACAGCGTCACTAATGCATTCAGAGAAATATGCTCTGGGCACTAGTTCCACTGGTATGAAAAAAAAGTCTCAGGTTCCAAAATTAAGCTCTTCTATTGTTACGTAGAGCAATTGTCAAAGAGCTGGAATTTTCTCTACAATTCTACATCAACGCTGCTTCATATGCAGCAGACTTAAATGGCCCCGGCGCAGGATTTCACTGTCATGGCGGTGTTTTCTTGCCTCAGAATGGTTGTAGGTAAAAGGCCTTGAAAGGGGTGTAGCACAGATCCGCCAAAATGGTAAGAGTATATAAGGATTAAGATATGTTGATAAGTTGCATAGAAAGGCAAAATTCCCCTGAATACAGAAAATTACAAAGTGCTCTAATTAGTGTTGGGATGATTAAGTGATTTGTTAAGGTGGAGAGAACAAGTATTTCTCCAATGGGTGTAGGGTCAGGAGTGTGTCCAGAATAACAGTATATAAATTTAAAATTACACTTAGATGTTTCAAGCGTGATGGTTGGAAACACTTATTCATACAAAAAGCAGTGGAAATCTGAAACATTCTTTCACTAGAAAGTTGATGATGCAAAGGATGAATGGGAAATTTCAAACTGAGATTAATGAATTTTTTTTGACAGTGAAACAGGTAACAACATTTGCAGAGTTAAGGTGGGTAGATGGAGATAACTTACAGAGCAGCCAGGATCTAACTGAATGGCAGAACAACTTTGAGCAATTGAACTGCCTTCTTGGATTCCTGCAGCCCACCTTTGCAAGAGACAAGAGATAGCAGGAACTGCAGATGCTGGAGAATCCTAGACAACAAGGTGCAGAGCTGGATGAACACAGCAGGCCAAGCAGCATCATAGGAGCAGAAAGGCTGACGTTTCGGACCTAGACCCTTCATCAGAAATGGGGGAGGGGAAGGGAGTTCTGAAATAAATAGGGAGAGAGGGGGAGGCAAATAGAAGATGGATGGAGGAGAAGATAGGTGGAGAGGAAACAGACAGGTCGAAGAGGCGGGGATGGAGCCGGTAAAGGTGAGTGTAGGTGGGGAGTTA